ATTGTGTACCAGTTTAACGTTGAATATTATTTATGATTTTAACTTTATACACAAGTGCCAAAATAACTATAACTGCTGTAATCTTTCTTGTTTATTTTGCTGTTCGAGCTGCTACTGTTGCTGGTTTTCTTGCCACTGCTGTTGTCTCTCTTCTTGTTTCTTTTATTGTTCTTGTATTGCTGCCATCAAGTCTGCTAGGCTGTAGTTTGATTTGCCACTTTTCATTTCCATCTTCTTCTTTTTTTTCCGTCCTACTCTCTGAAACCAATTTGTTGTGTATCTGTTTGTTTGCTAGTTTCCGATATAAATTCTTTTCGAGAAACTTCAGCGATACAAGTCCTTTCTTGGTTAAACCAGTTTATTCTTCCTCGATACAAACTTTTAGCACACAGTAATTGCACAATCAACATGTTTCTTGTCACTTTAAAGTTAACTACTTTTATAATACACGCTATAAATCACAGTGATTCACACACTTTACTTACCGTCACTACTGTACACTTATTTAATTATCTATCTATCTCGCTGGCTTTCTTTGTCAGGCTTATATACTAAAAAAGAGGGAGTCTAGCAAACACTCGGACACTCGCGGGGTTCCCCGATAATTCGAGAAACTCCAGCACGCATGCTCCCAGGGTTAAGCGATTTCCTTGTCGTAACAATATCATGCCTATTACATACAAACCACTATTCTAATGGGCTTTATTGTATTTCTTTGGTTTGCTGACCCAAGCCGTGCTGATTTACTCTTGATGCAGTCCACAGCAGAGTGTGCGGAGAATCTAGGAATATATTAAGCCTCTAGTTCACAGAATTATAATTGTAATTTTTACCTTCGGTGAAAAGAAAAAAGGAATCCATAATGTCATCATCAAAATGTATAATACTGAATAAAATTTTAGTCGAAATGTTATAATATTGTTCACATAACCAAATTTGCCCAGTTTTCCCCTGAAGAAGAAAGGTCCACCTTTCGAAAGCATTCGGTTTATTGGGTTTTTATCCATTCACATAACTAAAGAGTTTAGGTTTTAAAACACCATAACTGTTTTGAAAGTTATATATTATTTTCGTATAACATGATTATATTGTTACATCTCCGTTCGTTGGTTAATTTTCCGTAAATTCGTTCCGACGAAACTTTAGCGACACAAGTCTTTTCTTAAATAAAACTGGTTTATTCTTTCTGAATATAACTTTGTGT